ACGACATCACTATTGGTAACCTGTTACGACATCACTTTTGGTAACCTGGAATAACATCACTTCTGGTAACCTGGAACAACATCACTTCTGGTAACCTGGAACAACATCACTTCTGGTAACCTGGAACAACATCACTTCTGGTAACCTGGAACAACATCACTTCTGGTAACCTGGAACAACATCACTTCTGGTAACCTGGAACAACATCACTCATGGTAACCTGGAACAACATCACTCATGGTAACCTGGAACAACATCACTTCTGGTAACCTGGAACAGCATCACTTCTGGTAACCTGGAACAACATCACTTCTGGTAACCTGGAACAACATCATTTCTGGTAACCTGGAACATCATCATTTCTGGTAACCTGGAACAACATCACTCATGATAACCTGGAACAACATCACTTCTGGTAACCTGGAAAAACATCACTTCTGGTAACCTGGAACAACATCACTTCTGGTAACCTGGAACAACATCACTTCTGGTAACCTAGAACAACATCACTCATGGTAACCTGGAACAACATCATTCCTGGTAACCTGAAACAACATCACTCATGGTAACCTGGAACAACATCACTTCTGATAACCTGGAACAACATCACTTCTGATAACCTGGAACAACATCACTTCTGGTAACCTGGAACAACATCATTACTGGTAACCTGGAACAACATCACTCATGGTAACCTGGAACATCATCACTTTTGGTAACCTACACGATGTGGTATCAAGCATTGCTGCAAACATCACAGCAACAACATAGTCTTTATTCAGTATTGCACGATAACGTCTTCAATTCATCATGATAAAGTTAGTTTTACAATGAACTGCAATGAAACCAGTCAAAGTCATGATTAATACACCTGGTATTTGAGAAAACCTGTGATGACAATTTTATAATATACTCTGCTCACAGAATGGAATCAAGTTATCAATTAATTTGTTCAACAAACAGAGATCATGTATACAAATAACAATGAACAGAAGCCTTGGATATTCACACAAGATAACAATTGACTGAATTAACATTACAAAGCAGCAAAGCATATTACATATTCAACATGTGCAGTAATATCTTTAGCACCATGTTTGAAATGGTTCCTAAATCGTGTATGCAATAAATAAGTTATGAGTCCTGGCATTACTTTAGAAAAACTTAGAAACTCTAAAAAACATTTTGTCTGTGTAGGGGGGTTGATTTCACCGTGTAAACATTTGATAGATCATTAGAATGCCAGGAACCTGGCAAACCAGCAAATAAATACTGCGAGCTAGAAGTCAAGACCCCCCCCCCCCCCATTCTCGCACAGAAACTGATGGCGTTAACTGATCTATTCATGTACCGTACTTGTCAAACTGTGTACAATCAAACACATTGGATAAAGAAAGATAATGATAAATATCTTAACCTTGACTGTTTTCCCCACAGATCCTAATAATTTTTACATTGTAAATTTTAATGGTACATAATTAATATTGTAATAAAATCAGCGTATTTTTTGTGACCATTTCTGTTTTTTCATTGTAATAGTGTTGATATAATATTCCCCCCAAATCTGGCACATGGTGACATAAAATTGTCTTTTGCATAATGGTTAATGCTGAGTGGCCATCTCCCTAAACAACAGGATTTGAGTTGAGTACCCTGGGTGCTAAGTTGGATGAGTACAGTAAAACTGTTTGAATGCATGCAGAACAATGACACTTAGAATAAAACACCTACAGATTAAACAAGAATACCTATAAATTCTGAGACTGGATCTTTTCCATCTTCACTTCTGAGAGTACCAGTGATATCCTCATTCTCAATAATAGGTAAAAATAACTGTACAAACTCAGAGGTATACGGTGGAGCAATCATATCAAGTACCTGCCAATGAATGGATAAACATATATTTGTTTGAATCCACATGTGATAGAAAATACTGGTTTAAAAATATGTTTTTTGGCCGATTGTTTTTTTAACATATTGAGGTCCCAAGCTTTTAAATGTCATAAACAAGACATGCCTGTGAAACTGTTGATGATACGCCAAATGATAAATGTAGATTTTGGTGTTTTGGGACAAAACTGGCCAGCAGCCAGTCAAAGACCAACCAAACAAAAAACAAATCAATATATATCGATTATGCTAAATTTTAACATAATTAGAAATGATGTAAAACACAAATAGCGGTATGTACCGATGCACGGACGGATGGATGGATGGATGGATGGATGGATGCTTACATATGCACATGCCATTAATTTTCACAGGTATTTACTTTCAGTAAATGATATTAAAGATTTGCCAAACAATGAGATCAATTTTACATGTTCATGTGGATTTACTTTTTATTGGATTTTGCTTATCAGCATAACTAAAAATCTGTGAATAATTTTCTGGATGATGCAGCTGTCAGGGTAACGGTCATCATCGGATTGGTATGATACAGTAAGTTGAGAAGTAACATCCAATAAGATTGGAGGACATGCATCTGATTTTAGATGAAATGAGATCTCATTATGAGTGAGAGAGACATAAGACCATTTTTTCTTCCTCAAATAGTGATCCATTCTATCACATCAGCATTTCCACTGCTCCCCTGATCTACATAGCCATGGTGATTGGAAGAGTGAACACGATGACAACGTAATTCAAGTGGGCATTGTTCTGGTAACCTGAACAACAGGTGAAACGTATAATGTTCTAAAATTGGTATTTTATATAAGCAGTAAATCTTTTCTCAAGAATTCAGTCATCAAAGTGTATATAACTTTGGTCAAAGTTTTTCATTACATTGGTCATTGTGACAGCATGTAACGGACCACTATGTGACTGGTTTCACATTGGTAACTCTTTTGGCATTGAGTCTATCATGTATATTGTTCATATTATGTTATTTCTATAGGATCAGTGATTTGCTGTTGAACAATGGCAGAGTGCAGCTGAATACAAATGTTCCATATATGGTAATACTACTGTAGCTATAAAATGATGTACATACTTCTGTAACAAAGTGTCTTATAAGTGAGATATCTGTATCTTGTTTCTCCACACATTTCTTGATATATTGTACTACATATACCACATATCCTCTGCTTAATAAGTGCACCATTCTATCCAGTACTGTTTTCTTCAGTTCCAACTGTTGTACAATAAGAAAATAATATGAGGTCATCACGAGAATACTGCAAAGTATGCACAAAGGCAGTATGGTGATCATATTAGCTGACGTGTTGCAGAGTTGCCTAAGTGCATACTTTCTGGTATTCTCATGATTATTTATATACATCTTTTTTCTGCTTGTAGTAATAATTCATTGAGAGTTATAGCCCGAAATGATGAAAACATTTTGCGCTATGTGAACGTTTGGATGTGTGATTCAGCTATAGCGCGTTCAATGCAAACAAATGAAAACTAGGTTTGTATACTTCTAAAAACAGTTGTAATAATTTTTGTAATTTCTAATAAAAGAGCAAACATGGATAAACATTGACACAAACATTGAAAATGCTAAATGATGGACAAATTCATAAAAAAGAAATGAGATGAGATGGATGGATGAATGGATGAATGGACTGCACCCTTTACATCATAGCTGTACTGTAAAATGTGTATTAGAAGCCACAGTTTATATTAAAATGGTACAAAGCAACAGAGGGGGTGTGGCTTCTATTAGATCTACACAAATGAGAAATTGTGATTTTTTGGTTCTCAATTGTTCAAAAAGATTGGGTGCGACTTCTATTCAGGATGCAGCTTCTAATACAGACTTGACGGTACTATGGTATGATTGGGGGGTACGATACAATAAGATAGTCTCTTACCTCAAGTAATACATCAAGATCTGGATAAATTTTTTCAAATAAATCTTTGAGTAGTTGTAAGACAGTGTCATGGTGCAGAGGATGACAGTTACTAACCTGTAAGTAAGACACTATGTTTTTGCTGTTGTTTCATACGAATTTAATGTTAGATTTATTAAATATGTATTTTAAGTTTAAAACCTCACTTCAGTGGTTGTTTTTTCAGTCACTATTTCCTAACTGTGAGCAATGTGACAACAAATTTCTTAACTGTGATGTCTTGCTATAAGGACTCCAGTGATATGTTCATTACAACTTCCTGTCTTAACCCTTTGCACACCATAGATACTTTGTTGCAACAATGTTGCAGGGCCCATTACTAATTTGCATATTTGTACTCCCATTACCCAAGACTTTTTACCAATTCAGTGTGAGCCAGGTAGGTTGACATGTACACAGGGAAAAGAAGACTAGGACACTGTAGTTTCATTTCATTTAAAAAAAAAACACATTTTATTTACAATTCACATGGTTTCTAATTTATGATAACACCGAAATAGGCACTCATTTCATCTCTGTCGGTTTCAGACCAATGCCGGTCTACGCGCCCGGTAGCTTCCTGTCTATGTCTAGCGTATTTATTTGTTTCCCCGACCAACAAATCCAAAAAATCGTCCGTAAAATATAATTTAAAAAAATCCAGTGGTTCCCCGTCGAAACCAACACCATGTCTTGGTCCTGAAAACTGGTCGTCATGTGCTGGAATGTTCACGTCGGTCCTTTCATTTGACCAGATGTTTGGTGTATCGGCGATGTCATCGGATTCACAGTCAATTCGTCCCAATTCACATTCGTCCCAACACATTCGTCCCACAAGTCGATTCGTCCCAATTCACATTCGTCCCACAAGTCGATTCGTTCCAATTCACATTCGTCCCATTTCACATTCGTTCATTTTTTTTAATTTTTGGTCAGCGATACGATCTTGAGCAGGGTCAATTTCTATGCCAACTGTTACTGACACGCTAACTAATAACTCCACGTTGCGTGTACGGTGTATTTGTATTTATTAACTAATAACTATGTTGCATGTGCGGTGTATTTGTATTTATTAACTAAAAACTTGTACGTTGCGTGTACGGTGTATTTGTATTTATTAACTAATAACTTGTACGTTGCATGTACGATGTATTTGTATTTATTAACTAATAACTTGTACGTTGCGTGTACGGTGTATTTGTATTTATTAACTAATAACTTGTACGTTGCATGTACGATGTATTTGTATTTATTAACTAATAACTTGTACGTTGCATGTGCAATGTATTTGTATTTGTTAACTAATAACTTGTATGTTGCGTGTACAATGTATTTGTATTTATTAACTAATAACTTGTACGTTGCACGTACGGTGTATTTGTATTTATTAACTAATAACTCTACGTTGCACGTACGGTGTATTTGTTTATAACGTCGGCAAAAACAAAATTGCATAATGAACAATTACGCATGCCAGTGCATGACGTGTACGTGAACAGTTCGTTGTTTGGATGTGTTTGTGCTTATTTGGCGAGTTAGTAGTGGGCTAACCTTAAATCTGACGAATCGATCAACTTGTGGGACGAATCGACTTTGGGACGAATCGACTTGTGGGACGAATCGACTTGTGGGACAAATCGACTTTGGGACGAATCAACTTGTGGGACGAATCGACTTTGGGACGAATTAACTTGTGGGACGAATCGACTTGGGACGAATGTGATTTGGGACGAATCGACCGTCCCCCATGTCATCGGCATCAGAGTCAGAGTCACTGTCGGCATCGGCATTCAGCAAGTCTAACAGTTCATTAGAATCGATGTCACTGCCACTGCCACAGTTGGTATTTTGGCATAGCAATTCATATCTCAATCTCCCTTCGTCTATTTCTTCCACTGTAAAGCCTTCAAACTCAGTGTCTGAATCAGACTCATCGAAAAATCTCAGAATTGCGTCACGATCAGTTTGCGATGACAGCTCCGAGTCGGCCGGTTGTTGTGGCATCCCGGTACTGGGGCCCGCAGTCTGCTGTTCGCTCACAGTTTGGAAATTCATCACTGAGTTAAAACTTTAAACGTATCACACAAATAGTTGTGAATAATTGCATAAAAAATCCAAAAATACTCTACAGGAATTTAATTCGTTCGATTACAAGTCAGCTGGGTTTACAAACAAATGCAAATACGCAGTGGAGGTCAACTGAATGATCGTGTCTGTCAACCACTGAAAAACCTTGCATATTCCCGCCACAGTCAAATTAGTGTGTAATT